TCGGACATTTTATCTCTTCAATACTTAGTTAAGTTGTCAACAAACCAAGATAAAGCATTTTTTGTTACCTCTCAACTGGAAAATTTCTTCTGAACACTTGGCTAGAGGAGGATCAGATCACACTCCTATCCTCTTAAGAATTTAAAAAGAAGTTTACATGGGGCCCACCCCATTCAAATTCATGAGCTGCTTCACAACTCAACACTCATTCATACTCGTAGTCAAGGATAACTGGGGTTCATACAACGGAGAGGGTATGAGAGGTCTAATGGAAAACACCCCAAACTTTGCTGAATTCAGGCCCATTTGTCTTTCTAATTTCATGGCCCAAACTATTTCCAAAATCATGGCTTCTCGATTGTCCTCCATTCTTCCTAAAATCATCAGTCCATAACAAGGGGGCTTTGTAAAGGAAAGGCTCATTCATGACCAGATCCTCATTACCCAAGAAATGTTCCATGGTCTCTCTAATGACTGTCGGGGAGGAAACCTAGCTATCAAACTAGACATGTCTAAGGCTTTTGATAGAGTTTCTTGGATATACTTGATGGAAGTGTTGAAAAGACTTGGGTTCGGTGCAGAGTACATGCTCCTCATCCAGAATATTCTCACCTCCACCTCTCTTGCCGTGAATATCAATGGGAAAAACACAAAATCATTCCACACTTCTAGAGGGCTGAAACAGGGTGACACAATCTCACCTTTACTCTTCATCATTGCCTCAGAGGGTTTTAGCCGATCTCTTAAAAATCTTATTTGCAATAAACTCCTTCAAGGTTATAGTATGGGGAGAAACTACCTACCCATAACACACCTGGCTTTTGCAGATGACCTCATCATCTTCCTTAATGCTACCTCCACCAACCTCACCAAATTTCACAAATTTTTAAAAACTTATGAACACTGCTCTGGTCGTAAGATCAACCTGGACAAAAACAGCTTCTACCCCCCCCCTCACAAAACCCCACCTCAGCGAATTGAAACCATGTCCAAAATCTTGGGAATGAAAAAAGGTGACCTGCATTTTAAATACCTTGGGGTCCAATCATCAAAGATATCAACAGAGCACCTTACTGTAAAGATCTCATTGATCAGTTGGATAAAAAGCTTAAAGGTTGGTATAGAAAACACCTCACTCCTAGTGGTAGACTTATTCTTATCAAACATGTCCTCAACTCTATACTCCTCCAAACCCTCACTGGGAACAAAATCCCTAAGTCTGTCACTACCCTCCTCAATAAAAAGATGTGCTCTTTCCTTTGGGGAGACAATAAAGGAAAAGACAAGTATCATTGGGCTTCATGGGACAAGATTTGTATGCCGGAAGAAAAGGGAGGTCAGGAAGTTAGGTCCTTGGCCACTCTACAGGAAGCCTATAGCCTCAAGCTGTGGTGGACTTATCATGCAAATAATTCACTATGGAGTCAATTCATGAGAACTAGATACCCTAGAAGTAACAACTTCATTCCCAAAATTATAGATTCCATTATATGGAAAAGAATTTGTTCTATATAAAACTTTGCTACTAATATCTTTTTTGCAGCTGAAGATGAGGACATACAATGGAGACCTATTCATCCTAACGAGTTCACACTAAAGGAAGCATACCAAGCACAAGAAGATGGAGAGGAAAACCAAGACATGGAAATCATTTGGAAAACAAAACAATACCTAAAAATGTTTTTTTTAGTGGTGAATCTACTTTATCCTACTATGTAAGGAGAATCCTTGTCAACTCAATGCCCATTATGCAATGAGAATGAAGACTCAACACTTCACACTTTGATTCAATGCCCCTATGCACGAAACATTGGAAACTACTTTGAATGGATCTTCAAAATTCCATGGCAAACAACTCATGGGGTGAGAGCTCACCTTCAAAGATGGTGGAGCAACTACAATCTCAAGACGCTCGAAGATTGGATCAAAGGTATCCTACGCAGCAATCATGGAAACTTTGTGGCAGCCAACACATGAAACATCAACGCAAGCAATATTTTAGAAGGAGAAGCATGAGTTTTACTTCATGGACTAAATTGGGTCAAATGTTTCTCCAACAAGATTTGGGCTCACACAGACTCGGAGACAATCACAAAAGCAATGCATGGAAACAAAAACCAATGAGTTAATCGAGGGGTTGGACAGCTGTTTAACAATTTGTGTCTGATTTACAGAGAAGGAAATATGAGAGCACATAATCTAGCCAAATGGGCTAGCAAGAAAAATTTCTTTTCTCAATATATTTCTTTTTCATTTATCCCCTTCTATTAAGGGAGCCATTATGGCAGATGTAACCCTTCACTCGACCTATTCAGTTACTCCCTCCGTCCGGAAATATTTTTCTCGTGTTAACTTGGCACGCTTATTAAGGAATAGTAAAAAAAATGTAAAATTTTCAAAAATTCACATACTATAAACTTTTAAATCTCCTTTTTTTATTAAAAAAAATATATTAAAAAAGTAGATTTGTGATAAAATAGAAGGGTATTATTGATGTTTAGTGCATACTAAAAAAGGAAATGGGAAGATTAGTTGGGGAAGTACAAAAAAGTACTCCGTAGAAGATTATTTCCCGAGGGAGTAATTCTCAAAACTACCTACGTGAATAATCTTAGCTACTCTGAATTTGCCAAATCTATCTTCGTCCTCGATCCAGCGATCCTCATTTTGGTACGACGCATTTTCTTCATTTCCCAGCTCATCTCAAATTCACTGTAGAGGTATGTAAAATCGATCTTCGTCTTCATTCTACGACCGCGTCTGGAATTTATTCTTCAATTTATAAAATGAGTGTCGATCGCAAGTAATTTCAAACACTACTTCAATTTCTAGGTTTAGCCATCTTCTTCAGCTTGAGAGAGTGGCCTTCATTCCTGCTTATTGTAGGTAACATTCTCAAAAAGAGAGACATTAACATCTACAATTACTATTTAAAAAAAAAAATCGGACATCTAGGTTTTATTTTTGTGTCCATTGAACTTCATTCCCGCAATTGTAGTTAATTTCGCCCAATTCCTTGCAATGTCACTCTGTGTACGGAAACTTTACAATTGCTCCTTTTATGTCTCTTGTGTAACTGCTTCCCATCTCATGCAATTTGCAAATCAATATCCCGTCTCATGTCTCTTGTGTAATGTGTTTTCTGATCTCAAATGTTCCTAATTTATGGCATGGAGTTTTAATGAAAATCTCAATTAGTTTTGATCAAAACTAATTGGATGTAGGCTAACTTGGTACGTAATGGACTAAATGGAAATGGAATATTAAAATGTCATTGCTTTCTACTTTCTGTAAATTTTGGGTAGTAGATGCAACAATGCATCTAGGGTGTAACGAAAAGTCAAAAGAGTGTCTCTGTTTTTACATAGATAAGATTGCGTACATCTTGATCCCTAGACTCCAATGGAGTTAGGATTGTAGTGGGTTGTTGTTGTTGTTTCACCTACCTGGAGTTTATTGTTTAACAGACCAAACAATTGTGGTTATTACATGCATGTAAATCCCGTTGTTTATCTGGATTGCTTTTGTTACAGGTTGAGGAAGTAGCAGCTGGAAGAGAGCTGAAGGGAATGAGACATTCTAGCGAACCAGACTACTATTACGAAGATTACCTG